AGCTGAAAACGTCTTACATACACTTGTTTGTCAGAATATTACCTTTCTAACGGTATATATAACTTATATTTTAATACAAAAACACTGCTCAAAATTTGCCATAACAATGTAGTGGTACACAGTGAGTCGTTATCACCCCGATGGAATTTATAAGAGGACCGAAAGGTAATAGCGCTATTGAGTGCTATTAAACTTTTACTTTCGTTTTAAAATTAGAGACAATAAAATTAAGTACACGATTTAAATACCCCCGCCGCAGCAAACCCACCAACTAAGCGAATTTCCATTTGTCTGAATTCATTTTCAATTAAATATATTTTAATAACATTAGCTTTAACGAGTACCTAGGTTTGCTGCTACAAGGAAACTAATTAAGTGTGTTTTTTTTAGTAAAATATTGATAGCTTAGTATAAAATAAATGAATTTGCCAAGTTTGATCAAAATATATCGATAAACAAGCAAACTACAACATTTTATAATATTCTCCATAAGAATAACATAGGAATTTTAAATTTACAATTTTTAAAATTTTCTCCATTACCAATAACCGAACAAAAACACTTTTATATACTAAATTAATTGTTTTTTTAAGCTCTTTACAAAGGTCTAAAGATAAATTGGGATATTTTGCGTTTTGAGGGTCAAAAGTGAGAAAAAACCATTTTTACCCCGCAAAACCCCCGTAAAGCCTCGTTCCCATGGTCCGATTATGCTGGTTATGCTGGAACTCATTCAAGTTAAACCCGCTTTACACCTTTAAACCAAATTTCATCCAAATCGGACAAAAATTACTCAATTTGTTCCTAAAACCCCATCCATGGGTTAGATATATTTTATATATAACATAATTTATATTTATACAGATATTGATGTTTTATAATACTGTGCCCACAGATTTGGTCAATGGGCACTAAAGCTGGGTTTTCCTAGGCGCGGAGTCGGCGAGCGGAGAGAGGAACGCGGAGAGCGGAATTGAAATTAACATGGCATTCCGCTCCTCTTCTAGGAAAACAGTAACATTAAATTGCCTAAGACAAGTGGAGTCCGCTCTCCGCGTTCCTCTCTCCGCCCGCCGACTCCGCGCCTAGGAAAACCCGGCTTAAGGGTTAATCTGTTTGATTTAAGCCTGGATTATATTTTTGATGTATATGATATTTATGAATTTTGATATAAAATTTAAACAATATTGTATAGAGTACACTCTTTTGTTTTAGCGAATTTCCCTATAGGGAAGTAGCTATTACCGTAGGTGGCACGGTAAGACCTAGACCCGGGACCAATTTACTTTTTCATTTTGATTTTCCTAGAGGCCAAAAAACCCATTCGTTCAAATTATATATATATACAGGGTGTCCCACGAAGAGGTTTAACCGTTTGATTTTATATTTCTTACCCTTTCATGGACCGAACATTTTGAAACTTTACACAATTTATAAAGTACAGAAGGTTTAAAAATGTCGGTGAAAGATCTATCTCCCTATCCCTTGTAGAAACAAAATTGTGGCGTATTGAACGTTTTTATTAACTAATTATATTATATGAATCAATTTATTATTAATTTTTAACTAGTGATGGATAACAGTTACAATAAATTTGGACTCTACTTTAGGGTTTTCACTAGGCTATGGTATAATTTCCTGATGAAAAAGCCTTATTTCCATAGAATGCGTTAATACAAATGTTCTACAAAACCAAAAACACTATTTTTAATGTGTTTAAAACATCATTTCTCAATATGCTCCGATTTTGTTTTTACAAGAGGTAGGGAGCTGAAACTTTCCCACAGTATTTTTAAAATGTACTTTATAGATTGTGTAAAGTTTCAAAATGTTCGGAGCATAAATGGGCAAGTAATCTAAAATCAAACGTTTAAACCCTTCGTGGGACACCCTGTATATATATATACGTCCGTGAACGCGATAACTTGAGTAATTTTTGTCCGATTTTAATAAAAATTTGGTTTAAAGGTGTAAAGCGGGTTTAACTTGAATGAGTTCCAGCATAACCAGCATAATCGGACCATGGGAACGAGGCTTTACGGGGGTTTTGCGGGGTAAAAATTGTTTTTTCTCTCTTTTGACCCTCAAAACGCAAAATATCCCAATTTCTCTTTAGACCTATTAAAAGAGCTTAAAAAACAATTAATTTAGTATATGAAAGTGTTTTTGTTCGGTTATTGGTAATGGAGAAAATTTAAAAAAATTGTAAATTTAAAATTCCTATGTTATTCTTATGGACAATATTGTAAAATGTTGTAGTTTGCTTGTTTATGGATATATTTCGATCAAACTTGGCAAATTTATTTATTTTATTATAAGCTATCAATATTTTACTAAAAAACACACTTAATTAGTTTCCTTGTAGCAGCAAACATAGGTACTCGTTAAAGCTAATGCTATTAAAATATATTTAATTGAAAATGAATTCGGACAAATGGAAATTCGCTTAGTCGGTAGGTTTGCTGCAGCAGGGGGAATTTAATTCTTCTACTTAATTTTATTGTCTCTAATTTTAAAACGAAATTAAAAGTTTAATAGCCCTAAATAGCACTATTACTTTTCGGTACCCATAGACATTGCATTGTTGTCATAACGGCTCACTGTGTACCACTACATTGTTGTGGCTAATTTCAAGCAGTGTTTTTGAATTAAAATATAAGTTATATATACCGTTAGAAAGGTAATATTCTGACAAACAAGTGTATGTAAGACGTTTTCAGCTACGTGTAACGGAATCCACGACACTTAGCAAAATGATAAAAAAAAATCTAAATAAAAAACAAAATATTTAATAAAACTATAAATATTCGTAGTATTATGAATCTAAACAATGAAGTAAAGTACACCATCGGAAAGGTAATTTTTTCGTGATTAATAATCATTAAAAATGTAGGGCATTATTAGAATATGAACCCGAGTTATATAGGGAAATGTAGAATCATGTCACACAACTTTGGCGGCCATTTTGATTACGTCATTTACACCCATAGAGTGCCCGAAAAATTTGTGTCTCGGACTTTTTGGACTCGTCTACGCATGTACTATCTGAATCCAAAGGGGCGCGTTGGTTGCCAGATGTGAAATATTTTTCAGCTAACCCACCCCACTATTAGTTTCTTGAAGCTATCCAAGTATATTCTATGAACACTCAATGATAAAAGGCCATATTCAAAGTATACTGTATACAATCTTTAAGACGTATTTCTCAGGAAAGCGCAACGCCGAAAGACGTAGCTCCAAACATTGTTTTCGGAACAGTGCCTTCCAGAGTTATGCCTTTCCGAGGAATGCCTGGTTCTCCTCTTATTTGCTATGACAGTGGTTTCTCCACGTTTCTGTCCTAACTATTGATTTCGAAATTTCAAAGCTTACGTCCAGTACAAAATACTGTAGATAGTGTGCACCGGAATCAGCTTTTAGATCTTGAAGTTGATTTTGGCACTGAACATGTTCGTTTCATAACATAATGAACTTCTACTACAGTTGTTCTAATTTAATATCCTGATAGATAAAAACTAATAAAATGTTAGTATTTAACACGTTTTTAAAAAGGAATACAAATTTGTAAAATATAGTTTAGATTTGTGTTTTTGTATTGCTATGTATGGGCGTGTATTTATATTTGTTTGATGAAATACGATTGGCATTCTCACATTTTAGGAATGTAACTATTCAAACCCTGGTATTGTCTGTATCAAACAACGACCTTTTTTTAGACAGCATAACATTTATTGATAGTCTGATCACAAATTGCATTGGGTAGAGAATTGACCCTGCTTGGAATCGAACCCGTGACCTTCAATGTGGTCACTATAATCTTTCGGTATACCCAAACATTGCCTGACTGTATAAACTACTTTATATTCACCCAGTTTAATCACTAATACAAGAAAACAAGTAATATACCAAGAGAGTTGGATAATCAAATCCAGATCATACAAACGCCTTCCAGCCACAGACACCACATCACCTACTAACTGTAGCTATACAGTTTCAACAGGCTGAAAGGAGAAATAATATCTTCTCAAAATGTTATTTACACATGTTATTTGTCTAGACTCTAGAGTATTATCTGAATTGTATTCCTAAATTTATTCAGAAGGTATCTATATTAGCCGTATTGTTTATTTTCTACACTTTGAACATTCTGATCGTTGGAAGTACTTTCCTAAACTGATATATACACAATTACGATTTAAAAAATTAATGTTTTGTACTACTAAGTAGTAGGTTTATTCTTCCAGAATTGTGGTAATCTGTTATAGGAAATTGTAAGATTCGATATGCCTGCTTTATGAACCAATCAACCTAGGCCATGTCCTAGAGTGTTCAAAATAATTAGGCTATTGGATAATGTTTTCTTGTACTTTTGTGGAAATGGTAGGAAAATGTCAATGTTTACATATTTTGAATCATTTTGATGGCATTTTGCTTAAGTTTAAACTAATTTACGTATCTTTAAATTAGGCCTTAAAATATACACGATTTCCAAAACAAAAACCAAAAACGGGATCAGTAAAGTATTTTATTTTTATTTCAGGAAAACGAATATTATACCAATTGCTTTGTTATACATTTTTGTAACCATAATTTCCCATTATATTAACATATAAATCCTGATAGTTTTCCCAGGTTTTAGCTACTTGCCTTACCATTGACGTTTCATACAGCAACTTCTAGGAGTCTAGATAACTAGAAATTATTCTCTAGTCATTAATTCATGAGGTGAAAAGGTAGCTAAATAAAGAAAACAGAACGGGATTCATCATAAAGATGATGTAATGTACAAAACTAACTTATCATAAGAATGAAATAGAATACTTTGGTAGACAAATAGTACATACAAAAATTACAAAGGATATCACTGACTGAATAAGTTCATATCTAATAGCAACAGATTTTCATGGATACATTAATTAATGTTAACACAATTTACAGAACAGAGGGGTGCAAAGTGAGTACAGTACCGTAGTACGAACATTTACACGAAAAATGTGCTACACAAAACCGTTAGGCGTATATTACAATAACAATTAAAACAATTAATTCTTGTATTAAATATGTGTTGAGAAATATATTTTAAATACTTAACATACCGGTAAATAAAATGTTATAAAAACTGAGCCAATATGTTATTTAAATACAGTACTGCACTTACTTTGCACCCTGTGCTCTGCATCAGTATAAATATTACAGTATTTGCAATTGTTTTACTTTAAAAACCGTGTACTCTCCTATGCAGAAGCTTATTTTTTTACTTTTGAAAGACACGTTGTTGTGAAGACAATGTATATTTGATTATTTAGTTGACCCCTCAGTCAAAGAGTTAATTAATTAAGTTGTGCACTGTTATGTTCATGTTTGTATATCAACTGCGACAAGAATGAACTGATTTGGTCCAACAATACGTTTTGGTACCTACATTAAAAATAATCACGTTTTAATCTTAATTGACTTAAATCCAGGCGACTTACCTTTGGTTATGGGCTTATTTACTAGGCTATGCTCTTTGAAGTGTCAATAAACTGATTTTACTAACTCAATAAATTTAGTCCTTCGAGCCGGATGGTTGAGATCAAAGCTCCTTCAACCAAAATCATTGAATTTATTGGTTTGAAAATTAACTTATATTTTTAAATATTACCAATCCGTTACTTCCAGAATTAATTTGTTGCACTTTGGTAGAGCGTTCCATATCGCAAGATGAAGTTTAATTATGATTCTAGTGATAAAAAAATTCTTTAGATTTGGTCCTTCGAGCCGGATGGTTGAAAAAAAAAATGTTATTGACCTCGTGCCGATGAGGTGAAACAGTCATATAAATTTGGTCCTCGGGCAGAATGGTTGAGATCACTAAAAGCTGTGGTCGTACTCGTGTTCAGGAGCGTGGTAGGCGTGGGTGTTGTGCCCTGTCCGTGTCACCACGGCGTTGAACCCATTATGCTTGTCTGCCGTGTACTCCACGGTACGTACACTGCCATCAGGCTCCACCAGGCTGTATTTGCCCTTCACCACGTCACCATCACGAGTCTCGTGGGCGCTCTTCACATCCCCCGTGTGCTCGTCGTGCACCCCGTACTTGTAGCTGTACTTGGGATGCGCCTGGAAAGTAAACATTCATAAATATGGAGTCTAAATAAGAATATAATTCACAGCAATTTTGAAACAATTTGTCCGTAAATACTGGGGAATATTTTCACATATTTGTATAAAGTTGGTGAGCCTAAACAGGTGCCATTGCGATCAAACATTTTTGTTATCCACTTGGGTCATTAGAGAACCCTGGTTCCAGGTAATCTTATTCAGTAACAAAGCTATCATCTCATGTAGACAACACTCATCATTCACACATTTGCCATAAAATACGCACTCTTGTGTATCGGAAGTACAAATCTAACCTAAAACTCTCATGTAGGCAAAAAGAGCCATAGTACCCTACTTCTCTGTGAGAGCGCGAACCAACTCTTAACAGGTCTGTAAAATCTTGCGGTCGAGTCTACTGCAGATATTCGACTATCCATTACTTGCTCTATGTAGAAGTGAGATGACGATTGACCAATTAAAAAGCGTCACCAAGCCACTGGCCAGCTGTGCCAGTCTATAGATACTGTATAGATAGACCGTGTAATCTAGAATGGCTTCCTGCCTCAGTTATGTTATATCGGCGGAAGCGTTCGCCTCCATTAGGACCCGTCGATTGGCTTCCGGATCCCTCCTGCAGCGATCAGCTGACAACTGGCGAAGAGAAGAAGAATCGAGCCTGTCCATAGAATGCCTCAACCACATAATGTTTATGATAAGATGGAATACGACTCAAGGGAATCGAAGATCTTTAATTTGTGTGAGTTTGTCGTGAAGACGATATTTAAGGGTTGGTATGAAGCTGTAAAATTGAAAATTGGTCATTGATCAAATAGTTAGTGATGCGAGCAGGTCTAGTGGTAGAGCACAAGGTTTCGGCCCCAGATTTTCTTGGTTCAAATACCCCAGGTCACCGATGGCTTTAAATTATGTGATATCTAGTGTCGAAGCAGCATGAAGTAAAATGTAAAACGGGACTAGAAAGTAGAGTCCCAGGATGTAAAGGTAGAACATACAAATCTATATATATATATATGTTTTAATAATGGATATAATATCACAATAATAGTGTGTGGCGTCTCTTAGAATTCTTGACAAGTGAAATTCCAGTAGATGAGTTAGATTTTGGCATTTAATACTTGATATCCAGTTACTATCGAGTGTGTTCATGTCTACTTAACGTACCCTCCCATATGGGGTCTTACTATGTTTGTCCAATTTCATAATCATCCTAGAGAAAAACAAGTAATTTACAAACAAATCGCTAAAAATGTTAATCTTACAAAATAAATATAATTTATTATTTTATACTTACAGGCAGGGACACAATGATGTATACTTTAAACTGAATATGAATAAAGAATTATTGTAGAATAATTGAGTGAGATGCATTGTTTTGTTACTGACTATGATCGGGAGTTTCTTTAGTTAGAAACATTTATGTCAGGTACAATGATCAAAAACAGCTGGGTTGAAATTTATCGGTAATCCTTATTTAAAGTGAACATTTTAGAACAACACGCTCCTTACGGTTAACTTCAAAACTAATAAATATAAACTATTAATCGATTTTATAACAAGTAAGTTAATAGTTAAGTCATCAAAACATCTGACCCTTTTTAAAAAAAAACCGACCCCCTACTAAATGCCATCCATGCACCATTGTTAACATCAAAACCCACCTATACCCGATAGACGTAACTTTATGTTGCTTCGACTATCATAAGTATGATAAATAATGGAGTATATCCAATTTTTTATGATGTTAAGTTACAGCAGGTAAAAAACCGCGAAGATAAAAACTAAAATTTTTAAAAGATATTCAGCGGGTCTTTAAAGTTGATTGGACTTCCAAACGTTTTAGTTAAAAGCTTTCAAATGTAAGTAGACCTTAACTCTGTTATCATACCGCGGCAAGTTAAATGCCAATGAAGCTGTATCAAAAACCAGTTTTCACCAGTAAAATTCGCAACATCGGTAAATTATTCACCGGCTTTAGGATACAACTGTCACATAAACAAACAAGACGGCCAGAGTCCTTGGATAAGGTCAAATACCTCCGGTGGCTGTGAAATATAGATATCATTAATCCGGGCAAGGTGACAAGTGTGAGGTCATTAATCTGATTTCACATAGTGTAATGATAATGTGTAATTACGTTGGGAATCATAGCGTTGCGTTATTGTAATTATTACCGTAATGTTAGCACCGTGGACCTAGACTTGATAGTTTGCATCCAGAAATTATGGACTGTAACGGTAACGTTAAATATTTGTTTAGTGATTAGAACATTACCAGTGTGAAATGTTTTAGCATTTTACTTTATGCTGTTATGCAAACTAGTCTAATAATGTATATAACTTTTGTAAACGGATACACAAGGTCCAAAGTCAGTTTTTAAACTAAAAAATTAAAACCAAAAACATGGGTGACCAACATTTTCATTGATCAAAGACCCATAGAATCTAATCCAACAAAAAAATGAAAACGAGTCTCAAAACTGAGTTTAAAAGATGAAAATTTGACTATATTGTTGAAATAATTGCCATAGTAGTATTGACATACTCCATTATGGATAGACAATCTTCGTAGATCATATGGAGGTAATTTTAGAGCTAGTTCCTTCCGGTAAACGTAGAGGGGACTTAATAATTTATCATTTAGAATGCTATTTTGAGTAAAAAAATAACACAACCCAACCATAAACAATAGCCTCTTGTAAATTGTCATCTGTTTTTACAACCAAACAGGTAAACATAAATCGTAAGCCTTTCATAAATGAAGGAGAAACATTTTAGTCGTCATCAGTCACTCTTAGTTCAATGTTATTGACTCCAAACATATGAACCGAATTAAAATTTTACAATAGGAAGGGCAGCCCACTTTCACGTTAAAACCAATGGGTCCTCCCAAACCCCCCAAATACCACACCCCCCCCCTCACTTTGGTGGACTTTGGGTTTGGGATGCTAATCAAACAAGAAATTAAATCTTCGAGTGCAATTAAAAGCACATCTAGATAGGTTTACATAGTAATCCTTACAACCTACAACCAACCCAAGATGACTTACATAGTAGTCTACATGGTCTTCTTCGTGGCCTCCTCCGTAGTGCTCTTGGCCTCCATAATGCTCCTGAAGGCCATCGGCCTCGTAGCCTTCGTGGCTGTACAACTCCTGCTCCTGGGATTGGGGCTCGTACTGGGGCGAAGGCCTAGCTAGGCCACAGGCCGCGCAACACATCAACACCACCCACTGTAACTATGCCGTTAGAACTGATTAGGAACATTCCATTAAGTATTCATGCCATGGAATTATAATAGAACAGATAAATCCAAACAAGGTGTGGCGAAGGAATAAAAAATCAGACGCTTAAAATGAACTAGACTCCAACTATATGATAAGGAGGATGATGAAGCTATGAGATCAAACAATTTTGGAAGGGAACCCTATGGCGAAGCCCCCTGGACGCCTGAAAAGAGAGTTGAAGTAGGTAAGACATAAGAATCATAAGTCTAGAGCTTTAGGAGAAGACATACAAGAAAGTTATCTTGGTCCTATGCAAACTTTCAAAATTGCGGCCATTTTTATTTTTTTTATTCAAAAATTTTTTTAATGGCTGATTTTATGAAAAATAACAAGAATACTTTTATTTAGCATTTACCATTTCCTATCAAACTACACCAAGTTCAATAAAATCGTATACAAAAATATAACTGAAATATCAAGATTTTTAGTTGTAAAATGAGGCAAGCCTGACTGGATTAGCCTTTAACCATTTTTGAATGTAGCATTCGGTTTTGCATAGCCCGCTGCTGATTTTTTTGACACCCTGAATAGGAATAAAGTACAGTTTGCATGTCAGCAATATAATTTACCTTACAAATTGTTCCTAAAAATCTTGGCATCGAATACGAGTTTTTATCCTACTTCGGTCCCACCCACCTTTGAAGTCTCTGATTTTTTTATAAATACCATTTTGCGTTTTACTGACTGTTGCATACTTAATGAAATGTTGAACACAGTCAATGCTAATATACTTAGTGTTTTATTGGACTAAATTCGACATATTGATTGTACGTATAATGTGTATGATGACAACATGCTAAGAACTTGGTAAGTAATCGGCTTTTATTCTTGGAACATGCTATTCAGTAAATGAGAATAGAATAATTATTCAAATAGCCACCAAAAGGTTAAACTTGGAAGAGTTTTGCACAAACTACCAAAGCACACACTCTTAACTTATAATTTATTTCTCTGTTATAAGTATTATTCATTTCGACTTTTTCCAGTTTACAATCCATTTATTAAACTTATAACAAAGCTCATTTGGTTTTCTTAATAAGATGGAGAAGAATTTGAAGTTAGGCCTTAGAAAACACATTGTTTTAGAGAAAACAGTATACATTTTTTTAGTTAAAAATTTTAAATAAATGTTAATTGAGATATAATTAATTTCAATTAGCAATGATTATTACTAATTTCCAAGCAGATTACATTAGTTAACATATTTTTATCTAAATATATAAAAAATAACACTGAATATTTAAGAAAAAAAAATTAAAATACCGTTTAGCAAATGTAACTAAGTACTAACCCATGTTCAAAATTGCACCTTTTTTAGGCTTAATATTCAATTAAACACAACTCAGTATTTTCTAGAATGTTCAAAAGTTAATGTTCCAAATAATTTTTTATTCTACCTATTTAATAATTTAATAATAATAATAAATTATATAAATAACTTATAAATAAATAATAATTTAATAATTTTTTTATTAAAATTGTATTAATATTAGAAACAATTAAAATCAACAATAATCAACTTAACACTTATGCATTTTTATATTTTTTTGAAAATGCAATCCTACTGACTAATTGCTCATTTTCTAAAAATATGTATAGTAAATATAGTTTAGAATCAACCTAGGTACAGAGTATATATTTTTGACCTGGATATTGAATTTAGCATAAGAGTATTTTTGAAATACTAAAAAAGGCAACCACTTAATTAGTATTATATTATTTTTGAATACATTCTAATCAAGTTTAATTATTATTTACCAAAATAAAAAATATATCATAATTATTGTTTTAGTGGGACATTCAGTTAAACAAACTTGTAGTTGTTTCCATCCTTTTAATTTGCAGGCGTACATTATGTCTAGAAAAAACAACAATTATAAAAATAATATTCAATAGACAACCAACTGCACACGAATAAATTGTATTAATAAAAAATAATTTAACCAAATTATGAAGGTTTTTTAATACTGTATAGTAAATACTCATAATACTTATTTCCTCTGGATATCCAGTTAAAAAATATAACTACTTTAGAAAATAAAATAATATACTTAATTAATTAACAAACCCAACTATTTTTACAAAATATCAACAAATACATCCAACAATTAACCAATCTACCAATTATACCTAATTACAAGCGAGATGGTGAGATGGTCCTACCTTGGCCATGTCTGCACTATCTGTATCTCCCCTCCAGTCTTCCTCGGTATATATACCTAGAGAAAGCAGCCTATTAACTATATCCGATATAACATTCCATTATTTTACAGTGGCGTGCGTTATACAATGTTATATTACGACAACTGGGTGACACACTAAGACGGATTTGTGACACTACAGATAGAATCACCGATAGTCGTATTGATACTATTTGGTCCTTTTGGTGCTTGGATTCGGATTGGAGGAATTGATTTTTTGTGCTTCAACGCCTAATTGTTTTAGGGTTTTAAAGGGAACGTTCGGCATTGTTCAGTTAGGATCTTAGTTTTTGTGTAAAAAATTTATCTATACAATGATTCCTTAGCTAGGATAAGTATTGTACTACATAATTTGGTTTATTGTGTGAATTGAAATGCAAACTGTTTATTTACATTTTTAGGGGTGGTTAAAAGGTTAGTTTATTTCTAAAAATTTTGTAGGCCTATGTGGGTTTTGTATAAAAATTAATTTATCAAACTTTTTTTAATACAATACGATAATGACCTCAGAAATCATTTGACAAAATAAATAGGTTACGGTATACACCTATAATCTACGTGTGATAGAATATAAATTAGAATAGGAGTGTTTTCTGTCTATTTATTTGTCTGTTTATTTGTTTGTTTTTAGCCAACGCAAGCCCCACTGAACGAGCTGGGCTAAAATTTGACTCGAAGGTAAATTAAAACCCGGTTAACTTTAGACCTATTCATGTCCTGATATATCATTGGGCTCTGCCTAGGCCTACTATAAACTTATACTTATATGTGGTTGGGAGGAGATTTATTAGTCCTCACTACAAAAAACAAAACCTACAATGACCGCATTTCTTATCTATGATATGCACAACACTGAAATTGAGCTGTTATTCTGTGTGTGTATTGATAATAAATATTCTTTTAAATAAGATTTTTTCACCATCAAAGTAAATTAGTTTTTAATTATTATATTTTTTCAAACAAAGTTTAGCAAATAACTAGCTTTAAATGCTTGATTTAATAATTTGTCTATATATAGAAGTTGTATTAGCTAAGTGGTAAATAATAATGTGCAATATAGGATTTTGTTTATTTTCAAAATTATTAGGCTATTAGGCTATTACCAATGATTACACAGAATAAATTATTTATTCCAGTAAATTTGCTACACAGTACAACTGTTTAAAATTTTTAAAATAACTATTAAGTTTTAAACATAAAGTAATCATGAAAACAGAGAAAAATTTAACAAAGTTGTGAACTGAATGTTAAATGATTTTAAAAATCCAACAAAACGAACATAATAGACTTTGTAATTTTGTAGCTAGTTATAATTAACTAGTAACTAGTTTATACAATAAATGAAATCAGCATAGAATAAATAAACGTACTACATACGTAGTTAGTTTTACAATTCATTCGTTTATTTTCAATTAACTGGATGCAATGGTAAAAGTGTCAACATGGTAAATGTGAACTTTATAGTCATTCTTTTTAAAAATCAATTTCACTTTCCAAAGCCTTGAAAGCCATACATGCCTTAAATAAAATTATCAATTAATATAAAATATGTCTATGATAGTCGGTGCAGTAATTAGGCTACTTTTGTGAAAATTTTCTCTTACTGGGTTTAGAGGGTTTTGAAAAAAGCAAACAGAAGATTTATTTTCTACAGTAATAAATTAGCAAATGTATCATATTGGTAAAACATATTTGACTGTGGTGTGTAGTATTTCTGTAAGGGTCAATAAATGACAAATGAAAGTGTTTCTCATTGTTAAGGTGTATTAGATGTTATCTGGTTTTATGAAACAAATTAAACTACAACTGGGTCTATAAGAAACAGGAGCCACTTAAAATGTAGGGTTTGTTAACTTCCATGTCTCAAGACATAGAGAAATAAAGTAAATATAAATAACTAGCTGAACCCGGCAGAAGTTGTCTTGCCTTTGACTATTTATAATTTAAGTACCCTAACGTTTAATTGTCTTATTGTATATGAAGTGCTTATAACTAAATTAAAATACGTACGACAACTAATGAAACACATATAGTACAAAGGATAACCGATTCTTTATTATTGCTCTTATATTAATGCTAGTGGGTAGACAATATTTTTGGTCTTCCTATTCGGCTCAATCACGTCCTGGTTGAAGTTCGTTCGCTACGCTCACTCACCTTTACGTTGGAGCTCGTTCGCTGCGCTCACTTGCCTTCAGGTTAGCTCGTTCGCTACGCTAACTCGCCTCCAGGTTGAAGTTCGTTCGCTACGCTCACTCACCTTTTGGTTGCAAATTAGCTGTTGTCATAAAATGTAAAAGAAATAATAGTGCTGCACCCTGTTGGTAATCCTTGTAACTTTAATGCATACAACATATATTGAACATCATAGAAGAGAACCAACTTGTTTAATTGAAACAGCTGTTAAGATTCATTAATTCCATTTCTCATAAGGTTAACATGGGAAACTCCAGAGCCACTGGGGCGGAGCCGATTGGACGGATCACGAAATTGATGGTGTATAAACCTATTCCATGAAATTCTACACGTATGTACCAAGTTTCGTGGCAATCGGTTCAGCGGTGTCTGAGTTTATCACTGCCAAACCAAACATATATATATATATATATATATACAAACATCCTCTTTTATATATAAAATAATTAAATAAGTAACATTTTTAAATCCAAAAATAAATGTTTACTCTTATTACAAACTAACAAATTATGTAAATACTAATCTCGTATTAAAACAATTCAAAACCTATAGCTTTATGTAAATACACCATAAAAATATTAAATTTGTGATACTAACTTGGATTTTGAATACTGCAAACATACATAATCTTATTATGTAAATCAGTAAAATATAATTGCTCCAAACTAGTAAACCAGTTCGAGTTACCCAAACTGAAACTCAGTTTCCCACACGTCTCTTTTCTTCGCTACATTAACTCATCGGGTAACTCACTTGGTGAGGCGAGTTACACAATATTTCTACCGTAAACTACTTTATTATGTGTCCGTCTGTCCGTCTGTCTGTGCGTCTTCTTGCTGCGCTACTTTCCCTAGCTAATTACTGGACTGGCGTTGTTTGGGCCTATTTAACATTCATATTGTCTCGAGTTACTTTCCATTACTAGGCAATTGCACGAGTGTGTGTGTGTGTTCAGGGTGCATTCAGAATTACAGCAGAAAGTTGTTCAATTGTATGTTAAGGAATCAGAAGAAGAAAGAAGAAAGGAGCCGATGTCTCTGAAAACAATCTTGGGAAATTGCAATTCTTCTATTCATTATACTTATTTCTTTATTCTGACAATTACAGGAGTTCTTTGCAAAGCATTTGTATGATACAGTGAAAATATGTTTGTACGTATAAACACAACAAACACCCTACCTACTATCACAGAAAACATACTACTATATAGCACTACTATATAGTCCTACTATTATACACTTTATACCTTCTTTGGTATGAACACTTGTAAAATATTTTTAAGACTAAACTTTGAATTTAGTCACGTAATAATTGAGACACAAATATTATACCATGCTTAAGGTACATTTTTGTACGTTTTGCTTGGAGCGACAGGTGCGCCAGTCGCTCCAAGCAAAACATATCTTTAGCAAAAATCATGCTTAGCTGACAAAAAATTTATATAGCAAACACAATCCCCACGATAATTAATTGTGAATCATATGCAACATATTGAGCAACTACCGTCAGTTGAACAACAATGTTCTGCCACGCATCCCTGTCAGCTGGGCAGTGACACAAGCGGGAATTTTGGCGGGAAAGTATGCTCGCGTGCAGCGGGAACTCACCGGGCGGAACTGAGGCGATATGAGGAAGTGATAAGAAGAAGGAAGATACACAGAGTAATGGGGCTTTCTTCCATATGCGTCGTAAAGGTGTTTATGGAAATTGCCGATGAAAGTGATCTTATCGGGTTTACATCTCATAATGTCTTAATTATTTAGAAAATACGGAATTTTATTAGACATGCACACAACATTAGGAAAGATAGAAAAGAAAATATAGTTGCGGATCAAGATATTTGGAACTATTAATTAACTCATCTTATAATATATTACTAATTTACAGTATTCTAGCTTAAGAGATTCTACCCGGTCAATTAAAGATGGCGGCTAAACATGATAATGTTCCTGAACATGCCTCTTCGGTACAAGCTCTCAACATTCTAAAACTAATTTGATTCCAATGATGGTTGCTTGTTCTTAACATATCAGAGCTTGCAGTGGATGGAGCATAAATAATTTATAACTATTATTTAGAAGTTAAAACCGTATGTAAAACTTATTTACGGATTCTAAAAATGACTTTGTAAATACAGTACTTAAAGAAACAATTACGAAGTTTCAGTTCAGCCAGTGCATAGTTGGAATCTTTGTGAATATTTTACAGATTATTTCAATTCGATAAACACTTAGATAATGCCAGGAGGTTCTTTTTTGTAGGGCCATGTTTACGTGGTAAACAGCCGGTGGGTGGATCCCTCTTAATTTAGAAGAATCATTTACGTAAACTTAGTAAGTTCATTATACAATATATACATCATAATAATTGCATTCCATATCTTCGTTTCTTTTCCCCAACGATTATACAAAATTATTTACAAAGGTAATTTGGTAATTACAAAATATAAACCTGATTGTCAAAAAAGTGGGCCTATTACAGTCCATTCAAAATCTTCGGAAATCTAACAGAGTTACTTTGTATTTTAAGACGGAAAACTTTGTTTGATTGTTAAATTGGTTTTATTATTTTGGATTTGAATGTCTTATGAGTTATGAAAATGATAGACGTGTTCCTTGGCATTCGACAGAATTCTTATAGTATCTAATATAAATTATTTATATGCAATGATCACACTAGAGAATTAACTCACAAAGTACGCTGGTATCAATTACTACAGTAATTCCTGTTGAATAAGTCACGTTTTGATCTTATTAACCAAATCAAACTTAAAGTACG